AGAGAACCTGACCAGCACTGCCTCAGCCAGATGATCAAGGTCAACATCAACAGTGATGACATATGGACAGTATGTATCCTTGACATAATGAGATGAGAAAAGCACTTTACCTCTGTGGTCTTTCTTCTAAAAACCCATAACCACAGTGTAATCACCAGAAAATCATCAGACAAATCCCAACTGAGGGACAGGCTATGAAATACCATATAAATATGCCTCAGGTTGCCAAGGCCATGGAAAACAGGAAAGCCTGAGAAACTGTCACAGCCAAAAGAGCATAAAGAGACATCATGACTAACAGTACTGTGGTTGTCTCTAATGGGATGCTGGAACAGAAAAAGGAAATCAGCAAAAGGTAAGTAAATCCAAGAAAAGTGCAGATTTTAGTTAATAACACACCCACATGAGTTAATTAGTTGTTACAAATGTACCATAGTAATATAAGATTGTAATAATAAGGGAAACTGGCTGGGAAGTGTATTGGAACTCTGCACTTTTGCAATTTTCCTTTTTGCAATTAAAAAGTGTGTTTAAATAAGCAAGCTTAGTAAAACGTTAATGGCTAAACTGAGGTGGTGTGTATATTGGTGTTAACTGTAAGATTCTTTCAACTTCGTTGTAAGTTTGTACAATGATTCATAACTTTATTAATTTGCTAGCATTTATTTGTAAGTTGAAACTGCAGGGTAGGAAGATCCTGAAATGCTTCAAGCACCTACAAGCAAACAAAAGATTGCCAATGAAAATGAACTGTAGAGTGCTAATAAAGATGTGCAAATTGCCTCTGAGGTTGTTTTTACTTGGTGTGCTGCATTCACTGCTTTATATTAATCGATGCAAAAGAATTTGTAAGGATATTAATAACTTTACCATCAACGCGGGTTCCTCTAACCCTAATACCCCCTTGAGATTTTAAGTTTCTTAATCATAATTTCTCCTAAGTGCCCACGGTGTGGGAGAAACTGTGTATTTATGTTTCTGCAGTTGATCTATTCTCCTACTTCACAGCAACAAAGCTGAGGCTATCAGGCATAACTGCCCCATTTCCTGTCCTCCTACCTAGAAGATTATTTATAACCTTCCCACCCTCGCCCCTTCCTTCTAGACTCAGAGAGCAGTTCAGGTTTGACCCCTTATTGTGTCACTCCATCCTCCCCTTTCTAATTCTGTCAAGGCATTTACATTTTTTAAAATCAATTATTTTATTTCTTCCTCAAATTGTTAAACTTTATGCACCAACTCTACTTCACAGCCCCCAAAGCCTGTGAATCTCATCTTTAAACAGTGTATCATGTCCTCCCAAAGCAAAACAAATCAACCACCCAAACACCTTCTCTTTGCCTCTGTTCTCTGCCTCTTGCCTCCTGTCTTTTCCCAAGGTCAAGGTTCTGCAGAAGACTGTCTACACATGTCACCTGCATGAGACTTTCATTCCCAGTACCCAACTCTCCACCAAGAACCCTCTGACAAGGTCACTGAGATGTCCCCAAAACCCATGCCAGCAGTCTCTTGTGGTCACCTTCTTGCTAGACTTTCAGCAGCAGGTGACACCCATGACTGAATGTCTGCTTGGCATTCTCCCCTCTCTTGGCTTCCAGGACCCCTTTGGCTAGTCCTTGTCAGCCTCCTTTGCTGGTTCCTCTTGCTCTGTTCACCCTGATAAATATCACAGCTCTGTCCTTGGCCATCCTCATATCAAGCCCTAACACACTCTTTCCACACAATCCAAACTCTTCCCAAGGCCACCTTCACTCCAGTGACTCTCAGGTATACACTGCCCCACAGAATACCAGAAGCCGACACACAACTTGTTTTCAAGACTTACTGTGATGGGCACTGTTCTAAGCACTTGACCTACCTTGTCTCATCTAATCTTTACAACCCTATCAGGGTGTTGTATCATTAGCATCTCATTTGACTGAGCCCAGAGTGCTCAAACAACTGGCCCAAGTCCACACATCTTGAAGCCAGGATTCAAACCCTGTCCTGAACTGCGCTTCTTGCAGAACATTTCCACCTCAAGCTTTTTCATCCCCCTCTAACTCACCATGCCCCAAATGGAATTCACAGTCCTTTCCCCCAAACCCTTCTGGTATTTCCATGGGAGGATCCAGGCTTGGTGGAGGCTGAGGCTTCCATAATTGGGCAGGAAGGGGCTCTTTAGGAAAAAATAAATAAAAAGAAAAAAGTTAATACAAGAGTATATTTGGACCTTGATAGTGGACATGAAAGGGAGGGATTCCCACACATAACCTTCATTAGCTTCAACGATGAACCCCCCCACTGCCAATACATTTTGTATTCCAATGGCTAGCATCTAGTCATTCCAGCAGGAGGTGTGGAAACTTCTTCTCTTTCTATTTCCTCCCTCTTCCCTACTTCATCCATATGGAACCACCCTTTAGCAACCCACCTATCCATTCAACCATCTACTCATCTAGTTCTACCTTCCTCAAATCTCTAGAATCCCTCTTTATCTCTTTGTTTGCACTATCCTGATACAGCTCAGGTCTTCAACAGCCCACACTCAGACCATCACCATAGTCCACTCTGTCTATTCCTGCCTCTCCCTGGACTTTCCCCAACCCAGTTCCTGTGCTTAGCAGGGTGACCTTTGGAAACAGACATCTCATCAACCCTTCTGTGACTGTCCATTGTCCTCTGACTAGTATCTACATTCCTTAGCTCAGCAGTACCCAACACGGGACAATCATGCCAGCTTTACTTTTCCCTGTGCTCTCATTTCTTCCTTTCTTCAACAAATAATTACTGAGGACCTATTCTTGAGTACTATTATCAAATGCCAACAGCAGGGTAATTGGATGCTGAACACTAAATGCGCAGTAGCAAGCAAGACCAGATCTTTCACACCCCTTGTCTCATCACACCAAACAGCTTGTGGTTTTTAGCCTCTAAGATTTTGTTCAGCCTCTTTGCCTTTTCCTGGGCTTCAGGGAAGGTTTTAAATTCATTGATTACCTGAATAATAACCACTTATCCTTCATGGGTCAGATACAGTGTTATCTCCCATTCAGAGCATTTACCGATCACCCTGCACTAGCAAAAATGGATCATTTCCTCCTTTCTATCCCAAAGGTGCTTTTGAGATCTGATCTTCTCTCAGAACAGCTAATATGGTTTGATGCATCTACTTGACTATTGAGGTCTCCCTCATTTCAAAGCAAACACTTGGATCAAAGAAACATCATTTTATTCATCTCTACATCCCCACTGGGATCTGATACATAGTCGACACCATCAGCTCATACATGCATACATTCACCAACTCATCCATCCACACACCCACCTTTCCATTCATTCATCTATCTACTCATTCATCCTTCTATCCTCCCACCCACCCATCCATCCATCTATCTACCCATTCATCCATCTACTTACCCACCTGTCCATTAACCATCTACACATCCATCTACACACCCACCTTTCCATTCATTCATCTATCTACTCATTAATGCATCTATCCACCCACCCACCGATCCATCCATCTACCCAACCATTCATCCACCTACCTACCCACCTGTTCATTCAATTGTCTACTCTTCAATCTACCCGCCCACCTGTCCATCTATCCGCCCACTCATTCATCTACCCACCCACTCTTTTATCCATCCATCTACCCACCCATCTATCCACCCATCTATCCATCCAGAAAATGTTTCTGAATGTCCTCAACATACCAGCCATTTCTCCAGACTCTTTGGATATAGAGAAGAACAAGAAAGATGAGTCCTATGCTCTCACTAGCCCTACATTCTAGTGTCTGTTGCAAGGGTGGTGAGGGTGGGGAGGGAGTCACAAAATGTGGAAATAAATAAATAAAGTAGGTGAGTGAGAAGTACTGTAAAGTAAATTAAATAGAGCAATGTCCCAGAGGACAGAGTAAGCAGAGGAGAGGACCGAGATGAAGGCAGGGAAGTTGGGGAAAGTGTGAGAACTTGGAAAACACAGGAAACTTGGCAACAGACCTGATTTTGAATCCTTTCTCTAGCATTTATCTCTTCTTAGCCAAGTCACCGCACCTTTCTTAGCCTGCATTTCCCCATCATGAGATAGGGATGCAAGTACTTTTGTCACTGGGCTTAGGGGAGAAAGATTGACTAAAGCAGTTCAGTAAGATGTCTGACACATAATAGGTTTCGACAAACATTATTTCCTCTTCTTTTCTTGCTTTAAACAGATAATGATGCTGTTGCCTAAAAGTTAGGTTATGCCATTAGAAAGTGCTTTTGTTCTTTGCTCTTGTTCTACCCAAATGAAAACATGGCAAAAATCACAGAGTGGGTCTCAGCTCTCCATTTTGTTAACATCCAAGTTGATATTTCCCTTTTGTGACAGTAACAACAACATGCAAACCAAAAAATGAAACAGCTTCAGTTCTGTGCCCCTGGGATCCAACGTGGCACTCGTGAGAACCCTCCAGAGACAGCCATACTTTGAAGCAAGTGGCACAGGCTCTGCAGAAGGCACCCTGGGTCCCTCTCAAAGCTTCAGCAGTCAAAGATGATAAGAGAGCTGCAGACTTGGGGGAACGGAGGATGGGACGAAGCCACCGAGTACCTCAACTAACATGTCTTAGGAAACACCGTTCTCTTTCCTGACTCACATGGGGAAGCTATAATAATTTGGCTTCATGTGACTGAATTTTTTCTTTTTTTCTGTTTTCACTTAGTTCTTTTTTTTCTTCTCCTTAAAAAAACAAAAGTCCAAACAACAGGCTTTGGGCCACACTAGACTACCTAGTAAGGGGGATAGATGATCTAGATTATTTGGGAGCTGGTTCTCTGAAAAGCCAGGGAGCTCTGGTCTCGAGAAGGCTCAGTAGCCAGGAAGCTGAGGAACACACACACACACACACACACACACACGCACACACACACACCCCTCCCTGGCTCCAGTTCCTAACCACCTCACAAACCCAACCCCAGAAGTAGATTTCTCAATAGGCAGGCCTGGGTATGAGTCACAGGCAATTCCGTTTTGTCTGAGAGCATGAGACCTCCCACTCTTGAGGCCAGAAGGAGTTGCTGAGATGGAGCTGTGGTTCTGATCTTCAGGGGAATTCCTACATCAGTATGGTGGCTCATGAAGAGCATGGCTTCTTTTCTCAGCCCTCTCGAGGGGTGAGGATGCCAAGGACTGAAGTCCTTGGGGTTTGATGCACATGGGGTGTGGATGGTGTGGGGAGGTGGGGAAGGGGGACTAACATGAATGGTGTGAGGTTTTTCAGAGGGGTCTTCCCAAGGTCACATAGTTGGCAGGCGGTGAGTACTCACACTCTTGCAAGGGTGAGGGATAGGAAGGGAAACTGAGACCATTAATTTTTGACACCATAGCTGGTCTCTGAGGCTTTCAAATGTTCTCCCAGAAGGTTCAGCCTCAGGGGAGAGAAGCCAGGGGAACCCCATGGCACATCCCCAGCCCTGCCTGCAACCCCCACTCTGCCATCTCCCCCTACCTTGGGCTATGAGGGGAGGTAATGAGACCTGCGGCTCATACAGTGCTCTCCTTTTCCCTCCAATCAGCTCATACTAAGCAGAGAGGTGGGCAGGGGCTCTCTCACCAAAGAGCATCTTGTGGTGGGGGGTGGAGGGGCTTGTTGGGGAGGTGACCCACCAAATCCTTAGGGGTGGTTCTCGGCTCCTTGGGGATAGGGGAGATGAGTCCTCAGGAAGGTTCTGATCAGATGTCTTCTGTTCTCTTTTCTTTCTTGGGTGGGAATGATGCTTCCTGCTCTTGTGGTCCACCTTCAGGCCGCCTGTCATTCTTCTTCTTCAAGTCACCACTGAGAGAGACAGAGAGAAGGGGACCAAGGGCAAGCCATGGGGTTTCAAAAGTAGCCACAACCTCAACTGTGAGTGCTGCCTCCAGGGGTCTGCTCCACCAGGAGTTCCTGTCCCAGGTGTTCACAAAAACAGTCAAACTCTGTAAAATATTTAAAGATTTACTCTGAGCCAAATATGAGCCCATGACACAGCCCTCAGGAGATCCTGCTCAAGGTGGTCAGGTGACAATTTGATTTTATATATATTAGGGACATATAAGAAATAAATCAATACGTAGAAGATGTACACTGGTTTGGTCTGAAAAGGCAGAACAGCTCAAAGCAAGGGCTTCATGAAAGTCATAGATAAATTCAAAGATTTTCTAGTTGGCAATTGGTTGAAAAAGTTATGCTATCATCTAAAGAGCTAGAATCAATAGAAGGGATTGTCTGGGTTAAGATAAAGGGTTTTGGAGACCAGGGTTCCCATTATGCAGAGGAAGTCCCAGGTAGCTGGCTTCAAGAGAATAGGTTGCACATGTTTCTTATCAGAATTAATTCTCTTGTGGATCAGGAAAAGGAAGGGGGTTTTCTTTGGAAGGTAGATTTTCCCCACAAGAGACAGCTTTGCAGGACTATTTTGAGATACAGCAAATAAACATAATTTGGGGTAAAATACTTTTACTTCTTCCAGGGCTTGCTATTCGTCATGTGATGCTACACTACAGTCAGGCTGGAATTTGGTGTCTTATTGCTACAGAGTCAGCTTTGTCAATCCTAAGGTCTGTTTTAATGTTAATGCTGGTCAGTTGTGCCTGAATTCCAAAAGTGAGCAGGGAATAATGAGGCCTGTTCAACCCTCCCTTCCCATCATGGTTTGCACTAGTTTTTCAGGTTAACCCTTGGCCGAGAGAAGGGGTCCATTCAGATGGTTGGGGGACCTAGAATTTTTATTTTGTTTACACAGGTCCCTGGGAGGCTGCACCAGGCCATTTTGGTAACCAGAGGGACCTGTTCAACACCCTGTGGGTCCCAGCACCTCATTCAGGAAGTAGAGTGCCTCTGTCCACCACCGAGTCTCAGGACAGGTGAGTGAGCACTCATCATTCCCAGAAATCAGGTTGGCACAAAATGGCACTGCCCACAAAGCCACAGGAAGAAGAGAAACTACGACTATCACTCAGTTCATAGAAGACACTGTACTGGACCTGGACATTAGGCAGATACCCACATCTGACTTCTAGGAGAAAAGAGAACATGACAAATGGATATTCTCAGTAGATGGTTTATTAGAAAAGAAAACATCTTCCAGCATGTGTCCTGGGGTGATGGATGTGGGAAGCACTCAGTCCGTAGTCCTGGTCCTGGTTTCCCCAAGCCCAGCGCCAAGAATGTGCAGTGGACAGCAGAGGGTGAGGTGTCAGAAAGATGCTTCCGCTCACAAGATTGGAGCTCACAGATGAGCTTGAATAACCTGCAAACCCAAGAAACCTGAGACACTGCCCCTTGGGCCTTTTATCACCTGAGACTTTACTGCGATTATCCCAGCAGGGGGCAGAGCTCTCCTCTCTGCTAGAGGAAATGCTCTTCAGTGAAAATGCAGCATTTCTCCAGGGGTAGTAAAGCTGAATGCCTGCTTAGCTTACGAACCCTCAGCTGGCCTAGGTGGTGTAAAGACCCTGTTGTAACTGCTTTGAGCATCGGTCCTGTGGACTGTGCCAGGAGATCCTTGGGAATGTGCACTGGGCAGAAGCAGCTTTCATCCTTGGCCCTCACCCATGCTTTACATGGTGAGGTTGGGAAAGTGGCAGGAGGCTTCTTCTGAATCTCAAATCAACACCCTTGCCCCATTTAGATCCTATCTGGCTGTTTCCTGTTAAGATATTACAGCATCACTGCAGCATCTTTCCTCTTTCAGCAAAGAGGAGTCACAGGGTAGATGGACCCCAAAACCGAAAACATGAATCCAGCTATGTTGTTTACTCTGTAAGAAATGCACTATTTTCTGGAAAGCTGCAGAAGCTTCAAATGCATTGGCCACACAAAGCTAAGTCAGCAGAACAACCCGTTTGGCTTTAGAAGCTAGTTCAGTTTGGCGAGCGGGGAGAAAGACGAGGCAGACTGTGGTTTTGCAGTTCCTGGAGCTTAGTGAGCTCCAAAGCTCCCTGCCCTTGCTGCACTGTTCTTAATTTCAGAGAACACCCTGCCCTCTCCTCATATGGCCATTGAGTTTCTGGCATCGTCAGTTTATCTCTGTCTGTGAAATGAAATAGCTACTGTGAAATTCCTCACCTATGGCATGAGAGATGGGTATGGCTCTTGTGGGCCTCTCTGCAGCTCCTCTTTTCCCTCAATCACCCTCTCTGTCTCTCCTGCCTTCTGCTTATTCTTCCTCTACTCTCACCCATACTCTCCCAGTGGGTTCTGTGTCCTCTTTTTTTTTTTTTAATTTCTCTATGCCTCCAGCCGAGAAGATAAAGAGTGTACATCTTTCTTGTTAAAAAGTTTTGCTTTGCAGAAACACAGCCAATTTATGATTCTGGCCTTCTCAGCTAGGAGAAATGTTAATTTACATTTAGGACCATGAAGAGAGAGGTTTAGCTGTGAGTTTCTGAGGTCGGAGAAAATTACAGTGATACATAACGGTGCTGCACTCACTGAGGTGCTGAGCTCAGGCTGGGCTCAGGCAGCCACTAAGCTCAGAGTGGAAAGTTTCAGGAGAGGAGGGAGAAAGGAGAGGTTTATAGTTCCTTCAGATTCTGGGGATTAATTTACTAAGAAATTCCTAAGCCAGAAAACAGAGACAGAAGATAAAGAGAGAGAAGAGCAAGATAGAGAGACAAAGAGAGACAGTTAGACAGAAACAAAGAGAGACCAGAGAGGAGAGAGCAAATATTGAAAGGAAAAGGAGAACGAAACTTGACAGTTTATGAACATCTTTTAAAAGTCACAAATTAGGTTTGAAGATATGGGTAGAGGTTTAAGATTTCTTCATTAGGCAGGGCGTGGTGGCTCATGCCTGTAGTCCCAGCACTTTGAGAAGGCAAAGCGGCAGATCACCTGATGTCAGGAGTTCAAGACCAACCTGGCCAACATGACAAAATCCTGTCTCTACTAAACATACAAAAATTAGCCTGGCATGGTGGTGGGCACCTGTTATCCCAGCTACTTGGGAGACTAAGGCAGGAGAATCACTTGAACCGGGAGGCGGAGGTTGCAGTGAGCCGAGAATGTACTACTGCACTCCAACCTGGGTGACAGAGTGAGACTCTGTCTCTAAAAATAAAAATAAAAATAAAAAATAAAATAAAAAAATATTTTTTCAATATACTTTACGGATTTTTCTTTATTTACCACTAACTAAAAGGACCCCAGCAGCAGGTGACTGGCAACAGAAGAAGATTCCAGAAAAATGAGAGTCACTTCACTGAGCCTTTGTCCTTGACCTGCAGGATGTCTTGTACCTTGTGCATTTTTCTGGGGTGCAGGATGGTTCAGAGGTGCAGTGGTCAAGGCACTGAAGCTTGTCCTGGCGACCCAGGTTACGTGTAGATCTGTCTGGGTGCCTCATGTGCCTCTGTCCCCTGGATATCCGTGTCCCACTGAATGCCACCCCTGAGCTCCAGGTGATGTTCTAGGGGGAGAATGTGGGCTTAGGATCACTCAGAATCCTTGAAACCTGGATAAACCACTTAGAGAATGTGTGTCTGAACCAGGTTTCTTCTCTCTGAGCCTTGGTTTTCCCATCTGGAACATGGAAATACCAGTATCTCACAGTGCTATTATAAGATTTGCTTATAATATCAATACGCTGTTAAATCACACAACTAGCAATGCTGACTGCTCATAACTCACATGTATTGAACAGTGCACTGGGTCCTCATTTTACATGTATGATCCCAGTGGGTCTGCATATCTTCCCTACCAGGTGAGGACCACAAACAGCCTCACTCTTTAAATGATGCTTAGAAAAGCCAAGTCAAGCTTAACACTGCCAGAGTGACTCCAAAGGCTTTTTGCTTTAATAACCACATAGGTGCCCAAAACACTTTTGCTTCATCTCCTTCTCCCACCTGTTGAAGTTGTGGTTTTCCATTTCCATAGACCTGTTTCCTGAAGAGGGAGCCCAGCCCTACGGGTGAGGGTGAGGGTCTCAAGAGTTCCTGCACCTGAGTCCTGACTCTCTCGGCCAATAGTTGGCTGAGGAACCTTGGGTGAAGTCACTTATCTCTCCGAGGCCTCTGTTTCCTCCTCTCTAAAATAGAAGGGATGCTGTGGGTCCTACCTGCCCAGAGAGCATGTTGTAAGGACCCGTTGTAGGAGGGCAATCCTACTAGTCCAGGGAGAAGCCACAACGAAGGGGAAGGGCAGGATTCTCTTCCTCTCCCCCACCCATACCAGACTTGCCTTGACCTGCGCACCCCAGGTGCATGAAGGAGAAGACAGGCCCAAACCAGCTGTGGCTGCATTCGGACTTTAGTGGGGGAAGCAGAGATAAAAACCTGGAATTTATTCAGGTCTGGAAACTTGACCTCCACTCCATTGGGAAAGCAGTCAGATTTTAGGGTAAAAGATACAGGCTTAGAGCTCACTTGCATGGGGCTTCAAGTCCCCATTGTGTGGCCTGGGGCAAGTCTCTGTGTCTTTCTGGGCCTTAGTGTCCCCTTCTGTAAAATGGGAATAAAACTAGGGCTTACCTCCATGGATAGATGTGATGAAATCAGGTTTAGAAAGTGCCTGGCCCAGGCTTTGGGACAGAGTAAATGCTTATCCATATTGCTGGTGCTCCTGTACCCTTGCCAAGAGTCAAGGGGCTGTACTTTCTGACTCCTCAAGCCCTCCTGACTTGGGGACCTCACCTCGGCACCACTGCCCACAGCTGAATCTGAGCGCCATTTGCAGGGTGCAAGAAACAGCATTTGACAAATGAGGGCTCTGTGCTGCTCACGGATTTTCGATTTAAATTTACTGATCCCTAATTATAATCTCAGCAAGGAAGAAATAACTGAGGACCAGCAGGGGTTGTTGAGGAGCAATTACTCGGCAATTTTCTTTTTTTCCAGTAGAAAGGAAGGGAGATAGAGAAGTGAGGACACAGGGAGGGGCTCAGAGTCTCTACTCCTTCCCTTTTTCCAGGCTTTGTGCTGTCTGCAGATTGGATGCTGCCTCAGAGCCAACACAGCACTCTCCTTAGAGGGCAGACCACAGGGGTGTTCCCCTAATGCTGGAGGGCAGGAGGAATGGGGAGTCGACCATGGGTGGGAGACTGATGTTTCTTTGACATTTTCTTATTTCTTGAAAAGCCAAAACAGGGCTGGCTGTCCCCTCTCTTCCCGGTAAACAGATCATCCTAGAATATGTGCCTGTGCGGTAGATCTTTAGTGTTTACTTTTGTTTTTTAATTTCCAAAGATAGGAAGAATACTTGCATCAGAATGACCTGGGGTGCTTCTTAAAGATGCAAGTCACTGTCTCTCTAAGCCTTAGTTTCCTTTTCTGTAAAATGGAAGAGGAGGGGCACGGGTATTTGTACTTGACTAGAGAACTGGATGCTACTGAGGGCAGGCTGAGAGCCCCCAATGTGGACTGCACAGCCCTTGACCGCATCCTTCTCACACACCACAGCGTGTCAGACAGCTGACCATTGGTCACTGGATCTTGGGCAACTCAAACTCCTCACCTCTTGGGTGTTTGGGATCAAAGGTGCCGAAAGCAATTGTCAGATACAGAAAAGGTGTTTGGAGATTTGCCTTGTTCTCTGCAGGAGACAACCGAAACAGTGCATTGCTGTTTGCAGAGTATCAGATCCAAGAGGACTCTACTAAGCACGCAGTTTCTGAGCATAAGAGCAAAGCTGCAGAGTCAGACAGCCCGAGCTCAAAAATCGGGTTTCACTGCCGCTTACCAGCAAAACAACTTTGAACTCATCACTGAATTTTGCTGTGCCTCAGTGTCCTCAACTGTAAAAATAAGATAATAATAGAATCGCACTCCTGGCAAGATTATATGAAACAATATACACATGTTCTCTCACTCTCAGCCCGATGCAGATAAATTGCTAATGAGATTTTAGTTGTTATTGTTGAGGCTTACTTCTGACTAAGTGCCATACTGGGTGCCTTAGCTGATTCTCTCGTGTAATCCTCATCACCACCATGTCTAGTAAGTATGTTTTTGGCCCATTTTACAGAGGAAAGAACCGAGACTCAAAGAAATGAGGTAAACTGGTCCAAGGTTAAAGAAGCAGTAAGGGTCGGAGCCATTAGTTCACTCATAAAATATTTAATGCTCTCTGTGTGCCAGGCTCTATTCTAGGCATTGAGGGTTTTGTGGTGCACAAGATAGACAAGGTTTCTGGTCTCATGACAATCACATCTAGTTGGGGGAGATTAAATCTCAGCACCACTCATACCGCCTTCTTGAAGGGTGATGGTTCTTATCATTGCTCTTGAGCACATGGCTGGGTAGAAGGAATCCATCAGAGGGTTGGATGACTGGAAGAGTATAAAATGTCCAGAAATAAATCCTCTTTTTCCAGAGAAGGGGGATATTTCTTATGGTGACTTTGGCCCGGTTGAATGCCCTCTGCGTCTCCCCACTCCCATCTCTGTGTCTGGGTCCCTGGACTCTGTACTTAGTGGCGCTTGCTGAGAACTCTGAACCCGGGGATCAGGGAGCAGGTGGAGGATGGGATACAGACCACCAGGTTCAGAGTCAGGCTTGCAGAATCTTGCAAACTATGGGTAGAAACAGCACTCATTTTATAGTCAGTTCTTGCCTTTGCTGCCTGTGATTCCTGAAAACATTTTCCAAAGTTCACTGAGACCTCCCCATCACTGGGAGGGAGAGCTGCCTCTCTGTCAAGCCCCCGACCCACATTCTCTCTAGGGCAGAAGGGAAACCTCACCTGGCCAGGAGGGCTGACGGTAGCAGTGGGAGTTTAAGTTCCCTTGAGTGAGGCAGTGGGGGCAGCACAGAAAACACCTCCAACCTAGGCACAGAGCGACCTCTGCAGGACTTCCTCCCCATCAAGAAAGAGGCAGTGGGATTGGGTGAGTCCTGGTTAAAAACAGTTCATTTCTGTGGGTCCCAAGGGCAGTCCCAGCTCCCCAGCAGAGACCTTTTGAAACACTCACTTTTCTGAGGTCCTTGGTTCTTAACCCGAAATTCCCGCATCTGTACTCATGCGGATCTCTGGGGTCTGGGAGCGTGTGATTCTCCGCAGAACTCCCTGCTGGAGGCAGCCTCCTTCCCATCTTTCTCTTCCAAACCAAGCACACACTCTGCTCCCCTCGCTGGGCCTGTTGGGTTTGTCCCAGCCCCTTCCCTGGTTAGGGGTGAAGGGTGGGTCATGACAGAGATTGAGTCCCATTTTCAGACTTAGCTTTGCCTCCTGGAAATCACCTCAAAGTATTTTTGGAGCTACTTAGCATCCTAACGGTCAGAAAACTATTGCAACCAGATGCTTGAGCTCTGCTGAGTCAGCAAAGATTCCCACAGCAGTGGGGAACAGACCCTGGCCCTTGTCCCTGTGAGCGAGCCACGTGACCTCTCAAGGCGCCTTGTCTGAAAATGGAAACTAAAATTGCTGGGGTCAAAAGGGAGGAAAATATGGGAAAGCACTTTGGACAGTATAGTGTGCAAGTTGATGTTAGTGTCTATTACTTTTAAAACCCAGAAGTCAGCTAAGATGCCTTATCCTATAAAACTCAAGTGGATTTTTCCATAATGTCCTCACACCAAGTAGTGGACCCCTTCTTCTGCTGATTTATCTGTAGGGGTGTGTGTGTGTGTGTGTGTGTGTGTGTGTGTGTGTGTTGGGGCAGGGGGTACTATGGGTAGGGTGGGGATTTCCCAGTCACCTGGAGCCCTGAGTGCCTGCTTCCCTGAACTAGTTTA